GGTGCCGGAGAACAAGAACTTTGATGGAAAAGTTAAAAAAGAACAGAAGTTCCGGGCGGATAAAGTGACCATTGGGAAGGATCCTATGGCACCTTTCATTGCAAATAGTGATGAGTCTGATGCGCCAGATGAGGGAGATGAAGGGCAGGCTGAGGATGTGGCTGAGTCAACCCCACACGAGCAGGTTGTTGAGGCTGAGGGAACATCTGTGGTCAGAAGGGGCATGAGGATGACGGCCTTAGAGCACGAAATGGCAGGGCTACGGACTTCTATCAAGGACTTGGGGGCTCGAGTTGATGCACTGGCTACCCAAAATGCAAAATCTGAGAGGAAGGTCATGGCATGGCTGCGTGCACTTGGCAGGCCTTGCCATCTCGATCCCGGCACTGTCTCCAACCAGGACTAAAGTAAGCAGGGAAGTTTCCTTTACCTTGCAATTTTTCCTTTGTGTGGCATGGGGACATGCCACCATTTAAAGTGTGAGGTGGGGGATATTTTGTATGTATGTTGTACGTATATAGTAATGTAGAGTAGTGTTAGTTTCATTGGTTAATTTAATATATATATATATATATATATATATATATATCAAAAGTTCAATTTGTCCCAAACGATGGATATCATTCGACGGGTTTCTTGAGGGACTAAAGTCGAAGAAAACTTAAAAAAAAGATTTTCTTTTGTTAGGAGTGTATCAATTCCCCCTTGGTTTTTCTTTGGGCCACGGTTCTTTTCTAAGGGTTTCGTTTGAACCAGGTGTAGTTAGTTTTTTTTTGTTTTTTTTAGACATAGGAACCCTGGGCTATGGGCTAAAATAGAAACAGGATCTCTTAACTTCTTTATGCCTTGAATATAGCGGGTGCTTTAGCGTGATGCTTAGGCTCAATTGTTGATTCTTGTAGAAGTGCCTTAAATTGTATGTTCTTAACTTGGCTTAAGTACCCTGACTAGAGTGTTTTGATGATCCAATCTGGAGTGAGTTATGTGCCATGTGGGTGTGAGGTTTGTTGTATTCTGTGCATTGCATGTGATGCCTAGAACTTGCCCTGTGTGTCTGCAAAGCGAAATAGTAGTTTTGTTCAGTCTTGAAAGTGATATAGGCGTTTCTTTGTTGAGCCAGATATGTATATTTTATCCACTTAATTGTTATGTATCGTAATTAACTCCTTTGAGCTGTAATTCTGTTTCTTTGGCAACCACATTACATATCTTACCCCTTTGTTTGAATTAGCTATCTATTTGAACCCTTTAACCTCGCATAAGCACTTGAATAGTTATGAAATTTGTAAAAGTTAAAGTGTGGGGTGGTTGGTTTGGCTTTTGAGTGAAACTAATGAAATAAAGAGAAAGGTGCAGTATTTTGAAAAAGTAAGAGTCACTTGAATTTCAAAAAAAAAAAGATATATATAGTCGTTGATAAGTGGTGACTCTGATGTAAGTGTGCTTAAATAATGGGGAGTTAATGTATAATAATTTGAAGGTGGAGTATGGTTTGACATAAGTGTGGGGTTCTGACTGCTAAAGTGTATGTATTAAAGTACTTAGGGAGGTTGAGTCACTCTTTTATACAAATGTATCATACCCGTCCCGCAGCCTACATTAAAATCAGTTAAAAGCCCTACTTGATCTTTGACTGAATGAACTCGATTAGTATAGTAGTACACTACGGGCAAGCCTATGGAGCATATTTTGTAGCACAAGAATATCGTTTCTGAGAGTGAGTGAATTCTGTCTATTTTGAAGTTCCTCATTGTTCGTGAATTTGATTAATTGTGGAACGAGTCTCTTTTGTTGTGAGCAGGCACTTGATTCATGAAGGAAAGGTAATTCTTGACCTCTGCGTTAGAGTAAGTGAGTAAATTGGGAATAATGCGTGGTTCTTGTGAGTCAACTCTTGAGATGAAGATGTTACACTACTGTGCTCAATCTATGTAAAATATTCATGGTGTGAGGAGTTAGGAAAGTCGCTTAGTGAAGTTATGCCTCTGTAGAGTGTGGTTTGATTGCTCGAGGACGAGCAATGGTTTAAGTGTGGGGTATTGATAGTAGGCTATAATTATATAGTTTAACCACTATTTGCACTCTAAACTAGTTTCACTTTATTGATGTTTGAGCGTTAAATGATAATAAATTGCTCTGATTGAGAACTTTATGCTTTGCAGGAGCAATTCCGGGCTATGATGACATTAAAGAGCGTTTTGGAGCTAATATGGAGCATTGAAGGACAATTAAAAGCTTATGGAATAAATTGGGAACCCATTAGAGGATCGAAGGAGTTTAGCGCGCTTAAAAAGAAGAACGAAGAAGACTGCAGGAAATTGGCCAGTGCACAGTCGATGCGCGGCCGCGCATTGAGCCGCGCATGTCAGGCAGAAACTGGCCAAAGTGCGCGGCCACTTGCCCAGGTGCGCGGCCGCACACGTGCTTTCGAGAAAAAAAATATTCCAAGGCTAAATTTGTAATTCCAAAGGCGACCAACCTTGACCTATATGAAACCCAGCTCACCCAAAAATAGGGTATCTCTGTTTTTAGAAGAACTTGGAAGGCAAGAACAGGCAAGGAGCGAGACGGAAGATTCGGAAACGAGTTTTATCTTTCTTTCTCCCTTGTTTATCATTGATGATGAATTCTTATAATGTGATTGTGAAAATAATTATGAGTAGCTAAACTCTTTGTTCTAGGGTTTGATGGAACCTCTTGGAGGATGAATCTTTGTTGTGTTTGATATAAATTTGCCATTGGATTTTCTCTCTACTTGTTCAACTACGTGATTATTGGGGTTGATTGAAGGGCCATCAATCGGCTGCGCCTATTTAATATGTATTACTTAGAAAAGGGTACATGTTTAGGTAATTGTTAAATAATATTACTCCTAATGTATATGAGGGATCAATACGGAGGGTTTAAAGGTGGGTTTAGGAATAACGAAATCTTGGTACGAGTGTAGTGAGCGGTAAAATAGTGCTAGCTAGCGTAATTCGGAAGAATACGTTTAGTAAATTATTGTATTTACTCGAAAGAGAAGTACGACACCTAAAGTGCTCATAATCGGTAGAGAGTATTTAGGCGAATTTGTAGCAACACAGTAGGGAGGATTCCGATAAGAGGGGAAGTCGTAATTCTAGATCTTCCTAATCTTGTCTACAACAGTTGCTTTGTTAGTAAATGAATTATAGTTTTAATTACCTTGTTATTAGTTAGTAAACACTCAAGTCATTATTCAATCTTGTTGGAAGTTGATTATTTGGATTCTTGCTGAACTAAAAGTTGTGATTGGTACGTTAATTCTCTGTGGGATTCGACTCCGGACTTGTAAACCGGATTATATTTGCAACGATCGCTTAGTCCTTTTTATAAGGCATAGTTGGGCGTGATCAAAGGCTATTGAACAACTCGAAATATTGAGCCTATAATTAGGGGTGACAAGGAGAATCCAAATCTAAGTATATTTATGTATGTTATTAATAAATAATACTATACAAATTTATACACTTTTGTGGCTATCAGATATAAATAGTTATCTTTTGCTCAACTCAAAATCCCTTCCAATCTAGTCCACACAAAAGAAGTCATAATCCAATTTTTCACTCTTCTTAGATTTAGATTTGGATTCTCCTTGTCACCCCTAATTATAGACCCAATATTTCGAGTTGTTCAATAGCCTTCCACACAATTCTTTTGAATTTGAAGTGTATTCAAGAATTTCTTTTATTTATATATATATATATATATATATATATATATATATGAAGTATATTTTTTCGGCTATTATTTTAAGAGCAATTATATAGTATCTTTTTCCCTTTTGAGTTCGAGTTATCTAAATCTAATTAAAAAGCTTCTTTCTTTACAAGCCAAAATTCAAGTCATTAAAAACTAATTATAGAAAGCCAGGTGCCAAGAACAATGAAGAATGCCTCAATGGGATAAAATGCAATCAATCAAGAATGTCTTAACTAGATAAATTCATTTATTTATTGTTGAACTTTCTCTTCTTGTCTCGCAACCCCCTTACCTTAAAAATAAAAAATAAAAATCACTAAAAAACAACTGTACATTCCTCTTAGAATGTAAATGAATCATGCTGAAGGGAAACCAGAATCAAATTAGATAGCCTTTTTTGTCTTTTTAACTTTGCCTTGCATCTATTTAAGTTTAAAGAAAAACTTGAAAGACACAAGACAATAAAATGTAATCATGAAGAAGGTGATAAAACCCTTCAACAAGCAATGCTTTTCTTGATTTTTCCATTTTGAGAATATTTGAATGAAATTCTTGCATTGCTAAGTAGGGAAAGCATTTTGCTTCTGTCCCTCAACTTTAATCAAACACAACTGTCCTCCTCCTCTTTAAAACCAAGCCAAACTTCATATTGTATCCATTAAATACAAAAATCTTATACATTTTCCCTTCTTGATTATGGCTGACTCTAATTTTGTTGACAGGGAGAAGCAAAAGCAAGCAGACAATGATATCAAGGACATGATCTCTACTCTAACGAAACGATTAACCAGCCTCCAACGCGTGCACAAGGCAGCATCAGGAGACTCGGGCCAGAATCTTCAAGGCGATGATGAAGATGATCATGGCACAAGAATCATCACTTTAGCCGGAACCAATGTTGGAGCCAGCATGCGCGGTGAGATGGATGAGAAACCTGGCCTTGAGGGCGTTTCACCAGGGGAAAATGAGGCCTTAAAAACATATGTGAATAGCAATTTCCAGTCCATCAACAATTCAATCATGTTGGGTGGTAGCTATTGTACTAATGACCCTGGTGTTCATTTGGACATCTCTGATTATGTGGATCAAGAAACCCCAACACCAAAAGGACAAGGAAAAAAGAAGGAAAGGGGAAGCTCCAAACATTACCACCATTCCCAACACTCAGAATAGGCTTGTACAACAATCAAGATAAGCTCAATGGTCAAGAAACTCTAAAAAAATTCAGACCTTTACTCTATATGAATAAGTACCAGAGCTTAGTTGAGTCCTGCTTCTTTAGTTCTTTGTGTTTCCTTCTCTTTTCAACTTGTCTTGTCTCTTTGGGATTTCGGACAAGAACATTGGGGGGGTGGGAAGTTTACTGTGTTTACCATTCGGCTTAAGACCTATAGTAAGTGATGCTTGTTATGAGGTTCAATATGCTTATGATATATCAGAAAGGAAAATGTTGCATTTGTATTACTTTAATAATCATAACATCTTTTCAGATCTTTCTGCTATGCTACTTCTCATTTTCCTTTGGTAGCATAAATGCATAATACCTTATCTGCAGCCAATTTGAGTATACACTTGATTTTTGCAGTTGACAGTTAAATTTTTATTGAAAAATCTAAAATTAACGATGAAAACTCTGTTCATAAGGAATACATATTGAAATACTTCTAGAGATAGTTGACATTAAGGTAGCCTGGATTCAGAATTGGTCTCTAAATCTTTAAAGGTTAGCTCCTTGTCCTTTTTCTCTTCAGTTTCATGGACAACTTTTTGCATTTCTCTGTTCTTGCCCCAAAGCAAAAAGTATAGACCGGCAATTACAATAGCTGATCCAATTACACTGATCATGATCGTTTATGAAGGAATTAGTTAGTCAGTGCTAAGGTGAATATTTGGAAAATGGTTAAAAAAGAATTTAGAAGCTTTAAACTGTTGAAATCACCTTCCAAGATGGAGTTGTTCGTGTAGAATGGGAACGTCGAACATGGCTGCCATAATTTGGACAAGAGGACTGAATGCTGCAGTGAAGACCGGACCCCTCTTCTTCACACACCATGACATTCCCACATAGCACATTCCTGAACCTATTAACCCCTGGAGAAGTATCTTTTGTTAACTTGGGAAGTTTTAAGCTAAAATAATTAAGTTTCCATCTTGTGTTTAGAGGCCACGCCACGACTATGTTCATCGTTAAACAACATAGAAGGGAGTTTACTACTTTTTGTCTCAGTATGTTTCTTTAACAAACTAAAGGAAAATATCTATATCTGCTACTCGTACTTGGGAAGAAAAAAACCAGCATAGAGAGTACTTACAGTATAGATGATAGTCAACATATCGATCTTTTCCTTTGGAATCCAAATGGATAGTCTTCTATCAATAGACAAAGTTAAGATAGCCGATTGTATGGCACTAAAGAAGGTCATGATAACAGTGCTAGAGTACTTGCATGGATATTGATTTCCAATAAAGGATTGAAGAAGGAACCACGACGACCACAAAAACGTCCCAGCAAACAACGCCAAAGAACCAAGGATCCATCTTTCCTTTATTTTCGAGGAACTAATAGCTGCATCCGAGGATGGAGGTACATATTGTAGGTCTGAAAAATGAATCAAAGGGATGCCTTTGTAAAAAGTCAGTATGAAGGCACCTCCAACGCATATTAGTGTACCAATCAATTTGGCTATTCCACTTCCGTGTTTGATGTTGATAGTCTCTAACCTGCATAAATGGAGTTACAATGTTAAGAAAATAGGATAGTCTAAAGCTATTTTTTTCATTGAAATAAGCAAACTGAGCTTTCAGACCGAAAAGGTAATGCCATAAGGAATGTGATCACAGGAACCATGTTGACAAAGGCACATGAGAAAGTTGCAGATGTGTATTCTATTCCAAGAAGGAATAAGTATTGCGTAAGAGATGCCCTACAAAAAAAGATGTAACATATGGTCAAAAATGTTTAGCAAGAAAACATAGCCATGCAAATGAGCCAGTAAACTTAGAAGAATATAGGGAAAATTATAGAGATCATTCTAACTTACCCAACAATGGCACTCAAGAAAAGGTTACACAAGATTTGAGGGGTGAGTTTTGGTCTAGTATTCCTGCAAGAAGAAATTAATAAGTTGCATTTTCAAAGGAGACAAAAAGTTTTTATATATTGGATATGGAAATTTTTCTAAGAACTAGGAAACAATCTTCATACCTTTCCAGAAAGAAGGCAATTGGGGCTAAGAATATGGTCGAAATGGACTGTCGATAAGTGATGAAAACCAAATGGCTCATTCCATCCAATATAATCTTCTTGAGAAGTATATTACTAATGGCAAAAGCAAAATCAATTGCCAACATAATAAAAATAGGGTACCATTCCACATAGCTCTTCATCTGAGCCTTTTCCCTTTCAATGACTTACTTCTCCTGAACTGCCTCTTCCTTGAATTATCATGTGTTTTTAAACATGAAGCTGAGATAGACATTTAAAGTTTCACATAAACTTTAGTGGAGTGAAAAGTGTATACAGAGGAGGGATTAATTCCTGCAATCACATCAATGCTTTTAATCTACAAAAAAAGTTGACATTTTGTTTAACATCATATACTCTATCATTTTCCTTTACTATTTCCTTCCTTTTGACTTAGTTTCCGGATTAACAAATTCACCGGTGCCAATGAGCTAAGGGATCAACTTTTGCATCTCCACTCCTAAGCATATTAAGAATATATATGTTCCATTTTACTTTTTCTTGGTGTATAATTAAATTGTGTTTAGAACATTTAACATGTGAGTCAACCCACTATGGTAGGCAAAGTTTCCATTTTAGTATATAAAAAGTAGTGTGGTGAGCATCTTGTGGATGGGGGTCAAATAGAAATGATTCCCCTTACTGCAGCATTGTCATCTAATTCATTTTTTTTCACACTTGGAGCCTAACTGTTTAGTGTTTGTGGCATCTAATGCTTCTTTTAGAAACTTGTATTCAAGCATCTTCAGAATACAACATGGGGACAGAGAATAATTCATCTTATTCATATAAGAATACTACTACTACTATTCCCTATTTCAAAATTCTTTAGGTAGCAGAGCATACTACCTGATATGGGACCAGGTATTTTCCTTGCCATACAAACTCATTGAGGGAAAAGAAGAAAATAGTTTTTAAGTAACCAATTGGCTGAATAAAATCTCGCCTCAAATGACATTGTTGTCGACATTGTTAAAGAAATTAGTTAGCATGAGCTTTACTCGCGATAGCTCTACTACAAACTTGTTAAAACTAGCTCAGGAAGCAAATCAAGATTAACGAGAGTGTGATTCCATAATATAATTATCTTGTATTATACACCCTTTGACAAAGAGGGGTGTAAGATCCGGAAGGACCGGAACTACAACAACAAAAAACCCAATGTAATCTCATAAGTAAGGTTTGGGGAGGGTAGTGTGTACGCACACCTTACCCTTACCTCATAGACAAGGGCGGCTCTGAGGCTTTGGGCAGTGAGGTCATTGCCTTAGGCCCCCAAATTTTGAAGGACCCAAATTTATTTTAAATTATTATTATTATTGTTATTATTATATATTATATAATTTATATAAATAATTAGAATAAAGAAAAGTGTTACAGTATATTTTTTGTTACTTGATTGAGGTTATTTTATACAATAAATTTATAAATTATGATAATTTTCTTCCCCCATTAATTAGTATATTTGACAAAAGTGGATTGCTCCAGTGGTGAGCACCCTCCACTTCCAACCAAGAGGTTGTGAGTTCGAGTCACCCCAAGAGCAAGGTGGAGAGTTTTTGGAGGGAGAGAGCTGAGGGTCTATCGGAAACAAGCTCTCTACTCCATGGTAGGTGTAAGGTCTGCGTACAAATTACCCTCACCAGACCCCACTAGTGAGATTATATTGGGTTGTTGTTGTTGTTGTTGCTTCACTCTTCAATTTTAATTTTATCTTTTATATATAGGAATTAAGTTATATGTATTGACACCATAATAAATTTCTTTTATAATGTTCTCTGAAACAACATGAACACAAAAGCATTCATCCACCAATTTTCTTTTAGTGTAATTCGACATATTATATTAGGTTATTTATAATTTATTTTAGATATTCACCCATAAGTGCTACTTAATAGAATAAACTATAATCACTATTTAAATTGATAAGACGGAGTAAATATTTTTTACACCGTCAATACTCAAAACTTAAGTTATTACGTTATGTACGTTTATTTTTATTTTTTTTCTTGTTTGTAATGATAGCCGAATCAAAATTTTCACTTTGAGTTCTGGACCTCAATATTCGATAGTTCACCGCTTTATTTTTTGTGCTCTTTTTCCTAAATTGTTTTTTGAAATTCACTTTTTGTCTTAAATGATTTATTTGTTATTTAAAAGGCAAATTTTATTGTTAGTGTAAATATTTTATAAAATAAATTTAAGGGCCTCCGAAAATGGTTTCGCCTTAAGCTCCGAGATCTGTTGAGCCGCCCTTGCTCATAGAGGTAGAGAGGTTGTTTCCGATAGACCTCGGCTAACAAATTTCACCTTCGAAAGGATGGATCAAATCTTAACTTTCTTGTACAGTTTTAAAACATCAAAGAAAGAAATTATCCCACTTGGTTTGCAAGATATGAGGGCCACCACTACAGGGGATAGCTATATTGGCTATAAGTCACACCAGTGCTTTTTAACCAGTAACATCACATTCTTTTCAATGGAAAGTAAGGGGATGGACAATAGACATTGCTTTCATGTCTGTTACCTTACTCCTTATTCTTTTGTTCCATATCTAAGGTATTGAGCTGGAATCCTTTCTTCTCCTATAGTAACAGTACGAACCACAAAATTATTTTCTAACAACTGTTTTTTGCATTAGAGGCACGGAACCAGTAAAGTAGAGCGAGAGAACCCTGCGCTTGCCTCTATTGGCATCCTGATGTTAAATGTGATGAGATTCTCTATTTCCATTTTTGTTCCATGTCCCGGATATCACATTTTCTCGATGCTTATCTTTAACTTGGTAAGCATAACCTTTTATACAGAAATCAAATCTCATCAGTACTCTTATTGGCATCTTATAGGCAGTTATTTTTCCATCCACACTAGTCTTCTGCAAGGTTTCAAGTTGAGCAGGACCAAGACAGAATACTTGGAGTGTAAGTTCAGTGGCAAGACTCAAGGAGGGGAAGCGGAGGTGAGGCTGGAGCGGAAATTTTTAAGTACCTTGGATCTATTATTCAGGGGACGGGGAGATCGATGAAGATATCACACAGGGCGGGATGGATGAAATGGAGACTCGTTTTCGGTGTTTTGTGTGACAAGAAAGTGCCACCGAAACTTAATGGTAAGTTCTACAGAGTGGTGGTCAGACCAATGATGTTGTATGGGGCTGAGTGTTGGCCAGTCAAGATCGCTCTTGTCCAGAAGATGAAGGTAGCAGAGATGAGGATGTTGAGATGGATGTGCGAACACACCAGATTAGATAGGATCATAGATGAGGTTATTCGCGACAAGGTGGGTGTGGCCCTATTGAGGACAAGATGCGGTAAGCGCGGCTTAGGTGGTTTGGCCATGTGAGGAGGAGGAGCACAAACGCTCATGTGAGGAGGTATGAGAGGTTGACAGTAGAGGGCCTACGGAGAAGTAGAGGTAGGCAAAAGAAGAGGTGGGGAGAGGTGATTAGGCAAGACATGGTGCAACTTCAGCTAACCGAGGACATAACCCCTGACCTAGGACATGACCCTTGATAGGAAGGTATGGAGATCGAGGATTAGGGTAGTAGAGTAGGTAGTCTAGAGTATTTATAACAGTAGTATTGGCACGCAGTCTCGCTTTCTGCTGGTAGTAGGTTTTTATGACTAACGTTGTTTTCTTTCATTGTTGATCACCTTACTATTTTGTTGTTTTTATTCTACTTTTATATGGTTTTTGGTACTGTCTCTTGTCTATATTTTCATTAATGTGGTGTTTATGCTTTCCTGAGCCGAATGTCTATTGGAAACAACATCCCTATCCTCACAAGGTAGGGATAAGGTGTGCGTACACACTACCCTCCCCAGACCCCACAGTGTAGAATAATACTGGGTATGTTGTTATTGTTGTTGTACTGGTCTTCTGCAACATGCAACTTATTGAGTAAGCACATACAGCGAATCATCAAATGCCTCGTAATAGAGATTCTTGTTTTTTTAGGTCCATCTATCTGGTAAGAGCCTAACAACTACCGGTAAGAGCCTAACAACTACTACTCTTGAGGCTTATCTTAATTAAGGCATTCGTAATTCGTTCATCGTTTATGAACTTTCCACATGAAAGCATAAACCTGTTCCTGAACCATAAAAAGGAGGAGAGTTGCGGCAAGTTAAACATCAATATAAAAATAATTTAACTATGATGTATTATCTGAATATTTGATACAATCGGAACGGAATGGACAAAGATGATTTATACAGCCTACCCTAACTATTGACATTGAAGTATAGTTGATTGATTGATTGCTCATTGGGTTCATTTTTGTTCATATATGGAGACCACAGTGGAAAGAGAAGATATCACAGCTGCGAACCAACTATATGCTAAATACCATCTGCACAAGTTCATGGACTTTCCCTGCCTGAAAGCATACCAAATCTTGCAGCTGCAGCGGATCAGATGTCGAGCAGCTCTATGTGATGTTCATTGTAGTTCTATTTTTGTCCATTTAACCATCCAGTACCCATAGCCCATTAGCCCGACTAATCTGGACTCGAGTCAGGTAGCTCACATAGGAGAGTAAAGTGCTTCATACAGACAGGTTTTCCATTTCCAGGCCAGAACGGAGAGTACTAGAGGCGGAACCAGGATTTTAACTTTATGGTTTCTGAATTTTAGCTTCAAATGCTAATAACTGAATTCAAAATTTAATATTTATACATATTTAATAGATTTCTTAACACAAATACATTGTGAGCAATAGCTACTAGTTCGGCCAAACTCGTAGACGGGCTTCTAGCTCCACGCCTGCCCTGAGAACTCTTGTTAAGAGTAAAAGGATCTCATCCATCGCCCACCATAGCCTTTGCTTGTGATGTTCATTGTAGTTTCTTCTTGTTGAAACATGTTAATGGGTTTATATGAACATGAGCGCATCAAAATTCACTGTATGAATGAAGTATATAAAAAAATGTACATAGATATATCAACAGACCAGTTTTAGCTTTCTTTTAATCAAAAGATGAACTTCAATCCTGCCTCAAATGCATTCTTGATGATACGTAGGAGTAATACACAAGGCAACAGTATAGTATAAGCCAAGTGTCCGGCAGTGAAACACAATATCCTAACTGTTATCTAGTACTACTGCTTAAGGAGCGAACCCCAATATCCTTTTCATATCAATCTGCTGACTTTACGAAATCTTTGCTTACAGTTATCAAGTGCTACTGCTTGGTGCTTGTGGCATTATACCACAGCGAGCTACTATATCCTTGTGCATTACACTATGCCAATCTGAAGGCTTAACATTATGTCCCCCACCAGTAAAAAATTTAATCACTTCCCTCTTTGTCTGGATTTGAGAAATCTGAAACCGACTGAAAGAAAGACTAAACCTGAGCATGGTCCAAAGCGACAATATCATACCATGTTAAGAATATCTTCGGATCATTTTAG